TTCACTTTAAAAAATGTTACAAAAATTCTCAGCTTATACACCTCAACATACGGTATAAGTATGAACGCTAATTATCCTGTTATTTAAAAATTAAATATTGCGATAAAAATTCAAAATCTAAACTAAAGTTTTAATAAAACTAAAATGGTCGCATATCAAACATTGAAATTTATTATTCTTGTGGTGATTACACATAACAGCTTACTACGATTTTCTATTCGTTGTAAGGTTATTGTACTAGCCATCTTATAAAACCACGTTTTCCATGTTCTTTATTTTGTTCAAATTTTAGATGGAAAAATAGTTTGACCTAAAATATGCCAAAAGGGAAGTAAAAATAAAAAATATCTTGATAAAAATGTGGTTTTTCTCAGCTGAAGTAAAACTCCAAATAACTTGATTATATTCAATTTTTTTTAGAATTTAAAGTTATGAATACATTATTATAAATCATAAATCGAATGATGGAAATATTGTTAAATTGCATATTAAAATATCGCATCATAGTTTTATTATAATACAATTAATTGTAGGATATGTTTATGTCTGCTATAGCATGTATCTATATAGCAATGGTAAACACATATAGTTTTCCAATACTGTAGTACTGCAATAGTATTTAAAAAGTGATCGGATACAATTTATTGAAAGTGATTGGCAATAAAAGATGTTTCATATTAAAAAAAATTATTACTGCTTTTTAAGAATTTTTTGTTGGTATATATATTCTTCTTTCTATATAATTTATATGTATATATATCGAAAATAAGGACACATATACTAAAAAAAATTAAACACAGAAATTATCATAATGTGAATTTAAAAATTTTAACACAATTAACTAAAATTTTTAAAAAAGTACGAGGTTTCTTATTCTCCTTCAAAATCAAAAACATTTTTTTGCGTTTATTTTAGTCAATCAATAATTAAAACACGCAATTATTTTAATTCAAAAACTTCGTTCGTTTTTTATAACCCTTTCCTTTAGAATATTTTTTACATAATAATTCTTTTTTTAAGATTATGACTCGTTTTACATGAAATTTTTAATAATGTTGTACAACAATGTTGTCATTCCACATTTATAATTTATTTCGAAGTAGTACTTAAAATTATATTTTCGTGGCTTTTTATGCTTTCCATATATTTAAAAAAATAACCTTCATAAAAAGCTTTATGCTTTGGAAATTTTACTGCCTTTTCTTGAGACAAGGGTTCTTTACCAAGTTCCTTCAGGATTTCCATAAACTGATTTTAACAATCCTTGTAAATTTACTTGAAAAAATACATAAAATCACTATCTCTCTTTTTATTGGGAATCAATTATATTTTTTTATTTCATGATCTAATAATGCATGCAATATACATTGATCTATTGGGCTCACCTACCTTCTTTGTGTTGCAATGATCTATCTGCAAACTTAGGTGCCTTAGTAAATTTAATATTCTTTATAAACTATTAACTTTTATAAATTTGATATTTTTTGTATATAAGTTAATCAAACTTTATTAAAGTTAATTTGCAAAAAATGGTCTTGTTATACATATAATTTACCAATATAATTTTAAGAACATTAAATTAAATTTATAATTTTTCTATTATGCATTGAAATATTGAAATAGAGTTTTTCCCGTGAGGGTTCATGGTAAAGTTTTTGGTATAAGAAGGGGTCCATGGGTACAGTAAGTTTAGGAGCCACTAATCTAAATATTTACCCATAACATCTATTTTATCAGAAATAGCTTAAAAAGGGAAAAAAAGCCTTGGTCCAGTTGGACTAAATAAGCAATTGCTTTTACTTATTCTGCTCTAATGCATTTATAATTATAAAAAGTCTGTATATATATGGTACTTTTATGCTATAGCAATATCGAAATTGTGATGTATTTGATCTCTTGTTATTTTAGTGTGGTAGAAATTTTCTTCAGAATATGTACACGCGTATTTTCATGAAAGATAAGGTTATACAAATCACCTATGTTAATTAAGTACTAAACAATTCCAAGCTTCCTTAAATATAGTGAAATTTATAAATTTACGTAACGCATTCAAAGAAAAAATTTTACAATAAATTATAAATGAAGTATATGGGGCTAGGAATTATGTTTTTCATATTAAGTCAAATTTACTGTTGATAATCTTGCAACTTTGATAGTCTTTACTGTTGATAATCTTTATAACTTAAATTAGTTGATAGGTAATAATTTAGCAAAACAAATATGAACAAATGTCTCCTGTCTAATTTTCAAGTTTAAATGAATGAAATAAAGCTTAATCTGTTTTGCTACATTTTATTATAAAAAAATTAGCATATTGAGTTTAATTTTTAATAATTTTTCAAATTTAATTTGTTTTTCTGATGTTCCAATATGATTATTACATTACGAAATGCTTACACTCAAATGGCATTTCGAAAAGCTTACTTTTCTAGGTAGACTTCCATTTGCAGACCACTAACCTAAAAGGTATTTGAAAACTTTTTAAACACTTAAAAATTCGTTACTTTTGAGTATAAGCCGTTAGTCAGTACGGGAGTTAGGGATATTCTACCTTCAAAGGCATCTATTATCAATAATTGACGCTAACATGTGTTATTCCATGATGACGATAAAATAATGCGATGATATTCTGCTGATTTAACGGATATTTGGGGTTGAGAAAGAAAGGAAGAAGACGCCTTACACTTTTTTGTCTGAGAAGAGGTTTTGGTCAAGTTATTGGTTCGGCAATACAAAATGATGTTCAGAAAACTGTTATAAAGGAAAGAAAAACTTGGTACATTTTTGAACCAAGCCCATACTTTATACGGCTATTTTTCGTTTGAAATATTGACCAGTTTTTCTATAGTAGTTAACTTGTATGTGTAATACTGTAGTCTACACAATAAATAGAAACTTTGAGTTAAATTTAAAAAAGGTCTAATTTAAGTTTCAACTTAAAATATCGTCCATTTATTATGCAGATGTCCTTCAACAAAAATTTAAAACAAAAATTTAAAAAGAAAAAAAAAACAGCACTCTTGTTTGCTTTTTTTATATAATATAACAAAAAAAAGCATCACTTTGTTTATAGGATAACAAAAATTATTTTTTCAAATATGATTCAAATGATATTGTTTTATTATTATTTGAATTCATTAAATAACCAAATCCGAAAGGAACGAAAGTAAATAATTAAAAAAAAATCGATACAAAAATTGTTTGATTAAATTCCAATATGAACAAAAGGTTTTGAAATAAATTTTCAGAAGAATAAAAAGCCAAGGTTGTTAATGTTTTTTTCAAATTTATTCATGCAACTAGAATTTTAGATTTTCAGTTTGTTATGAAATAGAATTCTATTCAAGTTTTGAAAGCCATTTTGGAAATATAATATAATAAAATATTCAAATCTAATTAAAAGTAATAGCCTGTAAGAAAGTCGTTTATTAAAAATATTATTTATTTAAAAAAATATATTTGCATATGATATATCTCTTGCAATTATTAGTAATTTGAGCGACAAAAATATACTAATAAAAAATGATTCAATAAATCCATAAAATTAAAAAAATAGTTTTTAATTGTGTTTAAATGTTTATATATATATATAAATAAAAAGAAAACTTTTATTAAATATTCTAACCTGCGTACATCCTGAATACTAAAATAAGAGCAAAATAAAAACTGCTAGTTAAAGAAAAGAAAAGTTTTGATTAAAAATTTCCCTTATTAAATTCCATAATTAAAAACAATTAGAATACATTTTTAAAGTACAAGTTTCAATTCAGATTACGACGTAAGTAAAAGCAATAATTTAACCATAGAATATTCTGAATTAAATGTTTGTATATTATATTTTAATTTGATATAATTTAATGTTTAAATATTTCTTTTTCAAAACTCTGCAACCAGATATATAGTATAAAAGCGCTACAAAATAAGAACGTTTATTGTTTTTCCTAAGCGTTATGTACATTAATATTCATAGTATTTTTAAACTTTCTCCACCAGAAATCACACATTTAATGTTATCAAATTAAAAAAAAATATATCTTTAATCTACATTTTATACTTTAAATCTGACATTTTTCACTATTTTGCATAATACAGGGCAATGCTTTCCGCACACGTAGCAGTGTACCTGTAATTCAATATAATCCTTTTCTGACAATTCAGTGAAGAAGTGCCCGTGTCCGAAAAACCGAATTCACACACCATGGTCGTCGATAAGTCATCCAATATTTATCCGGTAATGATTGGTTGTTGAAAAGTGATGAACGATGTTTCGGCCAGTCTTTTTGCCCAATCGGGATGGGGCTGTTTGCCACCATTTGTCCTAATAAAATATTACTACGCTCCAGACAAGTGTTGCCGATATGAGTCTACCTCGTCACATAACGGTTAAAATCGTTATCGGTGTAAGCGGTACTATAAAGACTAATGAATCATGTTCATTTCGTAATTTGATTCCCTTATACATAGACTAGGAATAGCAATTTATTGCTGTCTTATCGAAGTAGCAGAAGGGATATCGTGTATTTAGTATCAAATTCTCAGTCGCTTGATTACGTCATTATTCTTTCTTCTGATTAGGTGGTTAGACGGAAAGGAAAAGATAGTCTTTATAATTTATACTGCATTTATGTCTATAAATATCATGTGAAAAGGAAGTGTAACGAAGAAGGGGAAAATTGATTTTATAGAGCACTTTTATATGAAAATGGTAATACATAAAGAACAAGTAATATAAAAAAAAATTAAGTCAATTCCTACTTATTCAAAAAAGAAAATATTTATTTTAGTTACTTTTTAATAAATAATTACAATTAATATACATGTGACCGAATCACAGCATTAAGTGGCAAAAGAGAAAACGATTTTCCTAACATTTTCCATTTTCCTTTTTATAAATGGTGTTGGACTATTATTTTTGTTTGTTACTATTTACTTATTAATTAAATTTAATTATTCCAATAAAATAGTACAGTAAAAGGAAATCCCAATCTCAGAAATTAGACCATCTCAGGTGGAATTCAAACCCATGACCTTTGGATTAGAAGCCCAACGCGCGCTATCCATTGCGCTACAGGTATAAAACAAGCGATTATCCTTTTTACATATGATGTTTAAATTTATTTATTCCAATAAAATAGTAAAGTAAAAGGAAATCCCAATCTCAGAAATTAGACCATCCCAGGTGGAATTCAAATCCATGACCTTTCGATTAGAAGTCCATCGCGCTATCCATTGCGCTACAGGGATACAACAAGCAATTATCCCTTTTACATATGATGATAGACTATTATTATTGTTTGTAAATATTTATTCATTAATTAAATATAATTAATGAATTAATATTTGAAAAAATTGTGTTAACATCAAGTGTCATCCACTACAAGTTAAAAAAAAATTTTGAACTTGAGTGGATTAATAAAAAAATTTTAACGATTGAAAATTTGAACAATATATATATATATATATATATATATATATATATATATATATATATATATATATATATATATATATATATATATATATATATATATATATATATATATATATAGATTGGATCAAGAATCGATTGGATTGACATGGATGGATGTTATGAACAAAATATGTGTATTTGATATATTAAAAATGAAATGTCGTGCAATAAGAAATGGATCATATTCTTGATGGGATACTGTTTGGTGAGTCTTTAATGATTTACTCTATTCATTTGTGAATATACTGTGTTTTTAATGTGAACATTCGGTTTTTAGAAATTTTTAGTTTGAACTTTCAGATTTTTTTTTAACTTGAACTTTCGGATTTTTTTAACTTGAACTTTCGGATTTTTAACTTGAACTTTCGGATTATTTAACTTGAACTTTCGGATTATATAACTTTAAAGATTATTTAACTTGAACTTTCGGATTATTTAACTTGAACTTTCGGATTATTTAACTTGAACTTTCGGATTTTTTAACTTGAACTTTCGGATTTTTTTAACTTGAACTTTCGGATTTTTAACTTGAACTTTCCGGATTTTTTAACTGAACTTTCAGTTTTTAACTTGAACTTTCGGATTTTTTAACTTGAACTTTCGGATTTTTTTAACTTGAACTTTCATTTTTAACTTGAACTTTCGGATTTTTAACTTGAACTTTCGGATTTTTTAACTTGAACTTTCATTTTTTAACTTGAACTTTTTGATTTTAGATAATTTTTGATTTGAACTTTCGGATCTCAAATATTTTTTGATTTGAATTCAGAATTTAACCTTTACAACTATTTTAAAGATGCAATCTTGGAAGTTTGAATATATTATGTACTAAATTGTTTTAAATTTTAATATTGCAATATCCTTCGGAATGTGATGGCGAATAGTTTTATTTTCAAGTATAATGATTTAATTTTAACTTTTTTAATTTTTTTTTTTTTCTGAAATTTGAAAATTTTCCAATTAAATTACCAAGTTGCAATAAAATCAAACTAGTTTAACCCCACTTATCGGTCCTAAGTCCGAGATTGCACTTGGATATTTTATAAATTTTTATTTTATTTTTATATTTTTTTAATTTTGTTTGAAAATGATGGAATATTATCTTTTATATTCGCCATTGATATTCTGAAGTGTTTTGGTATTTTGGGATTCATATATTTCAATTTTTAAATTGATAATTGTGATTGTTTTTATATATTTAAATATATATATATATATATATATATTATATATATATATATATATATATATATATATATAGTATAATAAAATAAAAAAAGAAAAGAAGTACTAGAACCTACAGTGCTAAAGAAGTAAGAAATTGAATTCAGCAGACGCAACAAATATAAATACAAAAAAAGTATTTGGACTAAACTGAAGACCTATTAGGATTTCTAAAGCTGTCGCTGAATTAGGCCAGTGCATTAGTATTAGCAATGCTTTGTGGATCCAACCTTCCCCGTACAGCAGAAATTTTCGACATAGTAGAAAAAAAGCCAAGTTGAAAAGTTAAGCCTAATACAACACGTGGAAGAAGAACCTAATAAAATAGAAAAATAATTGAAAAAAGAGAACAATAATGAATCTCTCAAAGAGAGGAATAATAAAAAAAATGTATCTAGCAAATTTTAGGATAAACTTACTTGTAAAATAAAATCTGGAACTCGATAACCTATATATGATGAATTATTTTCGAATTTATACATGCAATGAGAAATAAATATGTACCCTCTAAATTAGTTAGTTTAATTAAATGATGTACTTTAAAGATTAAAATGTTTTATTCATGAGATAACTATACAGTTGTATCCCACTTTAACGAATACATCGAGATCAAACATTTTGTTCGTTAATTTAAGGTTGTTCGTTACATCGAAGTCGAAACAAAATTAAAAATTTCTTGTTCTTGACTTTTTGAAATTGCATATAGGAAAAGCATAGTTAGAAATTGCACTCTTTTTATTAAACAGCTAAAATCACTATTAATGAATTAGGCACCAGTTAAAAAAATCTTCAAATATTGCCTAATAGATGTTTCACAAACTTTTTGATTTCTGGCGTGAAAAGGTTATTTTTGACTTTATTCAGAGAAGAAAATACTACGGCTTTTACAATCTGCTTCATTTTTTTACAGCTGTCAATCACTGTAAAGCATTAAAACATATAAATGTTTGATAGGAGTTTCATTATCAATTTATGCTATTCGTTGGCTCCGAAAAATCAACAGTTTCCTGAACTTCAGTTACACAGACAGGCAGGCCGTCATCAAATAAAACATAATTGTTGAAATGTTAAAATATCTCCTGCATTGTAAAGTGGGATGAAATAAGAAAGAATTTCCTGTCATATTCAAAACTCCCACGATAGGTTACCCTCAGAACTCATCTGCAACCTTTCCTGTGTCGGCATTTGAGGCTAATTTGAAAAGTATTTTTCTTTACCGGACAAAATGGACATGTCATTTGAGAAAAAATCTATTTTTTTTTAAAATCAATACTAATAAAACAGAATTTTATTTGTTGACGTAATTCCTTCAATCGGGTTTATTATGCATAAAAAAGGGATTTTTCATTAATTTTAATAGGGGAAGATGAAAGATTAATTAAATCACGAAATTCACTACATAAAGTTGCATTAAATAGGAGTTGTCCGATTATACTAATAAAATTAAGTAAAATGTAAAAATTGATGGCAAATTTAGTGATTTCACATTCATCGTTTTCTCCCTTAGTAAGATCAACTCATGGATGAATGTTGATCTTTCGTATATATATTCAATACATGCTTATAATGAGATATTTGAAAGTGTATTAATACAAGTATTAAAAAAGGCTCGGATTTTAGTAAACATGAAATATAAATTAGCTACCTTATTAATTTGTACGCCTACTTACAAATAAAAGTTCATTTTGATCTTAAAATTGAAGATTTTCCTTTCTTGTAATTTTTGTTTAAGCAAAACATAACAATATTATCTCATTTAAAATCAATACCTATTTCGGACAATGAATTGTCTTACGCCTTATATTATCTGCCTGTTAATGGAATGCCTATTTGACAACAAAAGTAATATTGGTATAATATTTTTCTAAAAAAAGTATTTGCTGTATAAATACTTTAGAATTTGAGATCATAATTCTATAATTATGCATTAATATTTCTTTAGATATGAAGAAAATTTAAGAAAATCTTTTACATTTTAAGCAAACTTCTTAAATTTATCTTTTTGGTAAATTACTTACATTTATTACTTCTGTAACATTCTCTGCTTTTTTAAGAGAATGAATGTCAACTTCGCAGAAAATAAAATGATAAGAAATATCTGAAATAAATATTATATGGAATCTAACAATATTGTACATCTATCTAAATAACAGCAAACGATATTTGTCAAATACGTATGTAATTCAAATTAAATTCATTTTGAAAGCAAATCATATAGTTGCATAATATTTTCAAATAATTTCTTTTCAAATTCAACAAATATTTGTTTTTTCTATTTTTTCTTAGTAATGTAATGATTTACTATCTATTTTATGGGTGGTTGTTAAATGTTTGAAATATTCCTTTAGAAGCTACGAAAAATGGCATGTGAAATATTTTTATTTATTTATTTATTAGGCTGAAAGAGAGAGCTCACAAAATATATTTAAATCTTCCAAAAAATCATTAGAAATAACAGAAAAACAATTTACAGCTGGGGTTGATAGTAATTTAAGAATTCTTGACTACTCCATCATACTCGAAGTTGATTTTGAATATTTTAGTTTTGAAAACAATATGAATTTTGATGCGGAAAATATAGTATAACATTAAAAAAATATAAAAAGATGTGCAGCTTACTCACACTGTCGTTCACTTTTAACTTCGCTTTTTCAGGGGTAAAAAGGAAAGGTCCCCCACACCCCACTTTAAAATGTAAATTACTTGATTTTTACTTAAAAAAAAAAAAATAGGTACTCTTTGAATCTTGAAAAAAAAAAGATTGACAAAAGAATTTGCAAAGTTTTAAGCTAGCATTTTTATGACACGCGTAACTTGATTCTCAAAATTATTACAGTATTTTATTTAATTTCTTAATTGTGAAGAAAAATATGAAAGAAAGGAAATTTTAGATATTATTTATCAATTAATATTGCCGATACAACTACTGATCAACAGTACATACATACGTGGTTTTTACTTAATATTTTTTTGTTCAAATATAGGTTTTTTTTTAAACCAAATTCACGAAATTTATGCCTGAGAATAATTTTCAAACCTTAATGTCCTTACATCTTGTTGAATTTTTAACCTTGCAGAATAAATATATTATTTTTTGTGTATTTATATAATGTTTTTCACCATGCCAATTGTGTGTTTAAAAACGTGTTCATAAATTTATGAAATACTTTTCAAAATAACAATAAAATTTTGTCACCCTTAATTATAAATAAGAATTCTTCCACGTTTATGGTAAAATGTATTGCTCTTAAGGGAGTCGTGTACACTTTTCAGTTTATTGCCTTGTCTTTTAAAATGATATATGACAAATAAATTTTTAAGTTAATAAATCCTGGAGTATAAATTACATTGCTCTTTGAGTATTTTATACGTTCTTTCT